TCCGAGGCAGGTTGGAGCCATCGCTTCGGAGAAGGCATTGCTTCTTGATCCCAAAGATCTTAAGACAACACTCAACCGCAGGGAACCTAATTTGGGCTCATAACCTACGGGGGGACAACCAAGGAAGGAAATCAACTCCCCTAATCGCCCTGAACTTATATTTCCCAGATCGAACCAAGAAACAAACAAGAACACGGATAAGAGCAACCCAGGGGGGAAGGAAAGGGGGAAGGAATCCACACCCTTACCAAACCCTAAGAACCCAGGCACTACTTTTTGAACTTGTGGCTTTCTGTTCAAGCCCATCTTGAGCCAAACATGATTTCCGGGTTCATTAACCCTTCCAACTCTCAACACTAACTCTTTTCTACAATACCAATTGCAGCTCCGCACCCTAAACCCTAAACCCTAAACCCTAAATCCTAAACCCTAAACCCTAAACCCTAAACCCTAAATCCTAAACCCTAAACTGCAAGAGGACTCTCCGAGTTTCGGTGATGCGCTCCGAGGTGCGGCGTTGTCCGCAGGAGCGCTGGTTGCAGCCTGGAGCCGAGAGGTTCGTTTGCTTCAAGCGAGTAGTGACTGGCAGTTTAGGGTAGAGGGTTTAGGGTTTAGGGTTTAGGGTTTAGGGTTTAGGGTTAGTGGCTTTCTGTCGTAGAAGGAACTACATAGTCACTGCAAGCAGCCGCCCGGCAGCAGCTGGGTCCAAGCACGAATCTTCCAACTTTGAGCTGTGCTGACCCTTACTTGAGCGCCGCATGTGTGCTTGGAGGTTCATGGTACTTACTAACCACTTATAACTGGGCTTATAACCCTACTTATAATTGGGATAACCCCTATAAGGCCTTTTACGGGTATTATAAGTAGGGTTATAAGTACAGTTATAATTGGTTAGTAAGTACCGTGAACCTTTAAGTGTGCCTGCTGTCACTCAGGTCCCCAGTTTTGTTGCACCTGGTGCCAGCCACTCTAGGCTAGCCGAACCACAGCTGCCAAGACCTGAGAAGCGATATGATGGCAGTTGCATGCTAAACCCTAAACCCTAAACCCTAAACCCTACACCCTAAACCACTTTTGCTGTGACTCCTTGAAGGTTGCAGTCAGAGCAGCAGCCGGCAGGTGCATTTTCGCGCTGCGCGCCTCTGCTGATGAAAGTTTTGGGGGGGATCTTCAGAGTAGAGCATGAATGATCGTCTATCAGAGTTGATAAGTGTGAACAAAGGGTTTCATCAGGTTTGATAAACGGCTCCTAGGGTTTAAATAGTCAAGACATAGGAGGAGCGGACGTTGGAGTCCAAGGCGCCCTTGGCGTCGGCGCCATCTGCTCTGGCAGCCAGTTTTGCTTCTGGCGCGGCAGTTGCCGCGACTGCACGGATCCCAGGAAAGGTGGGAGATATGAGAGGGTTTGATCTTTAGGGTTTAGGGTTTTTTTTTTTTCTGTAGGGTTGGGCAAGATTGCTGCTGAGGTGGCTGCTCGCACTGCGTGGGGCTAAGGCATCGCCAAAGGCAGTCGTGCACAGGTCGGTGGTGTAAGTGCATGCTTGCCTTGTGTCATGATTTCACGATATGTCCACGCCAAGGCTGGCAAGCATAGTTCCAAGGCCCGGCTGCGACTTTACTTAGGGTTTAGGGTTTAGGGTTTAGGGTTTAGGGTTTAGGGTTTAGGGTTTAGGGTTTAGGGTTTAGGGTTTAGGGTTTAGGGTTTAGGGTTTAGGGTTTAGGGTTTCGGGTTCAGGGTTTAGGGTTTAGGGTTTAGGGTTATGAGTGCCTTCGATCCCCTGCTCTGTGCTGTGCACCTCGCATGATTGCTCTTCAGACCAGCCGCAACTTCTTCGGCGGCAGCGCCAGCAGCCAGCCAAGTTTCGACCCCGCCACCCAGCTGGGAGTGCAGGACCGTATAGGGCAGCCAGTGCACCTTCCACCGCCGGCGCTTCGACTTCGACCCTCCAATGTTTCTCCAACGTTTGGCGAAAACTTTTAATGTTTGGTGCTTACGGTTTAGGCGGGAGAGCGAGAGAGAGAGAGAGAGAGAGAGAGAGAGAGAGAAAGCCCTGAGGGCAGCCTCCCTTCGGGAGGGTTATGCGTGTGGGAGAGAGAGAGAGAGAGAGAGTCGGCTAGCGAAAGCTGCTGCAGGACCCTATTGGTTTCTGGGATCCACTAGGCCGCCGCTGTTCGGGTGCCCGAAGCAACTCGATGTATATATGATTATACATGTATACACACACATACCTGTACAAATACGTTTGCATGTACATCTAACTTGTATATCTCGGATTTTATGTTATGTACCAGTATCATGAATATGGTTTATCTTATCTCCTCTGATATCATGTTGTAACATACGATACAACATTTTTCTATGATCTTACACTAACTATTATGGTTTGTACTATACATTGCTGTCATGATTAGGGATACCCTAAGCCCTAAACCCAAACCCTAAACCCCAAACCCCAAACCCCAAACCCTATACCCTAAACCCCAAACCCTAAGCCCTAAGCCCTATAAGCCCTAAGCCCTAAAGCAAACGTGTTGCCAGGCCTGAGCGCCGACAACGACGAGGCCACGTTCAAGCGCCGCCGCGCGGTGGAGATCAAGCACGGCCGCATTGCCGAAGCCTCAGAGCATCTCAGGGCCCTATGAACTCAATGAACCGTCATCTGTTACGTCTCGCAACTGCTTGTTCAAACACGCAGCCAGTTTCTTCGAGTGAAGGTGACACGGTTTGAACAGCTAGAGAAGACAGCCGCCCATGATAGAGAAGAGCAGCGCCAGGCCATGTATGCTACCATGGGATATATCGTCCCGGAGTACTTCAAGTTCCCCGGCTTCTTGAGCCCATCGCTTGGACTCAAGTTCAGCGACGTCCCGAACGGCCTGGCCGCCCTCTCCAAGCCGACGTCTCAGTTGTTGGACTGTTACGCTAGATTAGGCCTGCTAGGCCCGATGCAGCTTTGTCAGCCATTGCCCGATTCGGCGATGCGACACCGCCCTTTGTGGGCGGCCATCCTTTCTTTCAATTTCTTTCTGTCAGATGAGTCTCTGAGGATCCCGGTGTTGGGAGGTGCCCAGATCATTGCCTTCTGCGGCCTCATCGAGACCACGGGCTTCTTCCAGGCCGCGTCTACCACGGATGGCCGTGGACCTCGCGAGGGCCAGTTCGCCATGAAGGACTCGACGGAGGCAGCTGAGCCGGGCAACTACGGCGTGGGCTTCCCCACCTTCCTTGGCAAGGTGGATGACCCCGAGACCCGCAAGAGCAAATTGGCGGCCGAGTTGGCCAATGGCCGCCTGGCCATGATGGCGCCTCGCCCTTGTTGATGCTCCGCCTTCCCCTCCAAGTTGTGCTAGGTTGCGCTGTGCTGCACTTGTCTCCTTCAAGCCAACACAAGCCCATCTTTCCAGCAGGCGCGTAGCAAGCTAGCAGGAACGGAATGTCACGGAATGTCTGCATCAAATCAGACTTGAGATATGTTTGACGCAGAACATCGGGGGACATCTATCGGCAGCAGTTGGTTGCAAACAAAGAGAGATGGTCGGACCTGGATGGATCTAGAGCGGAGCCTGTTGTTGTGATAGATATCAGACCATGCAAGTTTATGCAAGACCGCGCCAGTCAACCAAAGCTCCATGTGAGAACATGGCAATGCTGACAATCGTGGTGCTGCAGGCCATCATCGGAATGTTTTTCCAAGATGGACTTACAGGATCGGCCTGGGGCGACTGGAGCCTCTACACGGCCTCGCCTCTGCGTGCCAGGGAGTCCAAGGTCGCACGCAACTTCTTCGGCGGATCCACTAGCGCCCCAAGCTTCGACCCGGCCAACGAGTTGGGTGTGCAAGAGCCCATCGGGTTCTGGGACCCCCTGGGCCTGAGCGCCGACAACGACGAGGCCACGTTCAAGCGCCGCCGCGCGGTGGAGATCAAGCACGGCCGCATTGCCGAAGCCTCAGAGCATCTCAGGGCCCTATGAACTCAATGAACCGTCATCTGTTACGTCTCGCAACTGCTTGTTCAAACACGCAGCCAGTTTCTTCGAGTGAAGGTGACAGGGTTTGAACAGCTAGAGAAGACAGCCACCCATGATAGAGAAGAGCAGCGCCAGGCCATGTATGCTACCATGGGATATATCGTCCCGGAGTACTTCAAGTTCCCCGGCTTCTTGAGCCCATCGCTTGGACTCAAGTTCAGCGACGTCCCGAACGGCCTGGCCGCCCTCTCCAAGCCGACGTCTCAGTTGTTGGACTGTTACGCTATGTTAGGCCTGCTAGGCCCGATGCAGCTTTGTCAGCCATTGCCCGATTCGGCGATGCGACACCGCCCTTTGTGGGCGGCCACCCTTTCTTTCAATTTCTTTCTGTCAGATGAGTCTCTGAGGATCCCGGTGTTGGGAGGTGCCCAGATCATTGCCTTCTGCGGCCTCATCGAGACCACGGGCTTCTTCCAGGCCGCGTCTACCACGGATGGTCGTGGACCTCGCGAGGGCCAGTTCGCCATGAAGGACTCGACGGAGGCAGCTGAGCCGGGCAACTACGGCGTGGGCTTCCCCACCTTCCTTGGCAAGGTGGATGACCCCGAGACCCGCAAGAGCAAATTGGCGGCCGAGTTGGCCAATGGCCGCCTGGCCATGATGGCGCCTCGCCCTTGTTGATGCTCCGCCTTCCCCTCCAAGTTGTGCTAGGTTGCGCTGTGCTGCACTTGTCTCCTTCAAGCCAACACAAGCCCATCTTTCCAGCAGGCGCGTAGCAAGCTAGCAGGAACGGAATGTCACGGAATGTCTGCATCAAATCAGACTTGAGACATGTTTGACGCAGAACATCGGGGGACATCTATCGGCAGCAGTTGGTTGCAAACAAAGAGAGATGGTCGGACCTAGATGGATCTAGAGCGGAGCTTGTTGTTGTGATAGATATTCGACCATGCTAGTTTATGCAAGACCGCGCCAGTCAACCAAAGCTCCATGTGAGAGGGCACGACTAGTGACTACTGTCGGAGTATACATGGCAATGCTGACAATCGTGGTGCTGCAGGCCATCATCGGAATGTTTTTCCAAGATGGACTTACAGGATCGGCCTGGGGCGACTGGAGCCTCTACACGGCCTCGCCTCTGCGTGCCAGGGAGTCCAAGGTCGCACGCAACTTCTTCGGCGGATCCACTAGCGCCCCAAGCTTCGACCCGGCCAACGAGTTGGGTGTGCAAGAGCCCATCGGGTTCTGGGACCCCCTGGGCCTGAGCGCCGACAACGACGAGGCCACGTTCAAGCGCCGCCGCGCGGTGGAGATCAAGCACGGCCGCATTGCCGAAGCCTCAGAGCATCTCAGGGCCCTATGAACTCAATGAACCGTCATCTGTTACGTCTCGCAACTGCTTGTTCAAACACGCAGCCAGTTTCTTCGAGTGAAGGTGACACGGTTTGAACAGCTAGAGAAGACAGCCGCCCATGATAGAGAAGAGCAGCGCCAGGCCATGTATGCTACCATGGGATATATCGTCCCGGAGTACTTCAAGTTCCCCGGCTTCTTGAGCCCATCGCTTGGACTCAAGTTCAGCGACGTCCCGAACGGCCTGGCCGCCCTCTCCAAGCCGACGTCTCAGTTGTTGGACTGTTACGCTAGATTAGGCCTGCTAGGCCCGATGCAGCTTTGTCAGCCATTGCCCGATTCGGCGATGCGACACCGCCCTTTGTGGGCGGCCATCCTTTCTTTCAATTTCTTTCTGTCAGATGAGTCTCTGAGGATCCCGGTGTTGGGAGGTGCCCAGATCATTGCCTTCTGCGGCCTCATCGAGACCACGGGCTTCTTCCAGGCCGCGTCTACCACGGATGGCCGTGGACCTCGCGAGGGCCAGTTCGCCATGAAGGACTCGACGGAGGCAGCTGAGCCGGGCAACTACGGCGTGGGCTTCCCCACCTTCCTTGGCAAGGTGGATGACCCCGAGACCCGCAAGAGCAAATTGGCGGCCGAGTTGGCCAATGGCCGCCTGGCCATGATGGCGCCTCGCCCTTGTTGATACTGCGCCTTCCCCTCCAAGTTGTGCTAGGTTGCGCTGTGCTGCACTTGTCTCCTTCAAGCCAACACAAGCCCATCTTTCCAGCAGGCGCGTAGCAAGCTAGCAGGAAAGGAATGTCTGCATCAAATCAGACTTGATATGTTTGACGCAGAACATCGGGGGACATCCATCGGCAGCCGTTGGTTGCAAACAAAGAGAGATGGTCGGATCTAGATGGATCTAGAGCGGAGCTTGTTGTTGTGATGGATATCAGACCATGCAAGTTTCTGCAAGACCGCGCCAGTCAACCAAAGCTCCATGTGAGAGGGCATGACTAGTGACTATTGTCGGAGTATACATGGCAATGCTGACAATCGTGGTGCTGCAGGCCATCATCGGAATGTTTTTCCAAGATGGACTTACAGGATCGGCCTGGGGCGACTGGAGCCTCTACACGGCCTCGCCTCTGCGTGCCAGGGAGTCCAAGGTCGCACGCAACTTCTTCGGCGGATCCACAAGCGCCCCAAGCTTCGACCCGGCCAACGAGTTGGGTGTGCAAGAGCCCATCGGGTTCTGGGACCCCCTGGGCCTGAGCGCCGACAACGACGAGGCCACGTTCAAGCGCCGCCGCGCGGTGGAGATCAAGCACGGCCGCATTGCCGAAGCCTCAGAGCATCTCAGGGCCCTATGAACTCAATGAACCGTCATCTGTTACGTCTCGCAACTGCTTGTTCAAACACGCAGCCAGTTTCTTCGAGTGAAGGTGACACGGTTTGAACAGCTAGAGAAGACAGCCGCCCATGATAGAGAAGAGCAGCGCCAGGCCATGTATGCTACCATGGGATATATCGTCCCGGAATACTTCAAGTTCCCCGGCTTCTTGAGCCCATCGCTTGGACTCAAGTTCAGCGACGTCCCGAACGGCCTGGCCGCCCTCTCCAAGCCGACGTCTCAGTTGTTGGACTGTTACGCTATGTTAGGCCTGCTAGGCCCGATGCAGCTTTGTCAGCCATTGCCCGATTCGGCGATGCGACACCCGCCCTTTGTGGGCGGCCATCCTTTCTTTCAATTTCTTTCTGTCAGATGAGTCTCTGAGGATCCCGGTGTTGGGAGGTGCCCAGATCATTGCCTTCTGCGGCCTCATCGAGACCACGGGCTTCTTCCAGGCCGCGTCTACCACGGATGGCCGTGGACCTCGCGAGGGCCAGTTCGCCATGAAGGACTCGACGGAGGCAGCTGAGCCGGGCAACTACGGCGTGGGCTTCCCCACCTTCCTTGGCAAGGTGGATGACCCCGAGACCCGCAAGAGCAAATTGGCGGCCGAGTTGGCCAATGGCCGCCTGGCCATGATGGCGCCTCGCCCTTGTTGATGCTGCGCCTTCCCCTCCAAGTTGTGCTAGGTTGCGCTGTGCTGCACTTGTCTCCTTCAAGCCAACACAAGCCCATCTTTCCAGCAGGCGCGTAGCAAGCTAGCAGGAAAGGAATGTCTGCATCAAATCGGACTTGAGATATGTTTGACGCAGAACATCGGGGACATCTATCGGCAGCAGTTGGTTGCAAGCAAAGAGAGATGGATCGGATCTCTTGTTGCTGTGATAGATATCAGACCATGCAAGTTTATGCAAGACCGCGCCAGTCAACCAAAGCTCCATGTGAGAGGGCATGACTAGTGACTATTGTCGGAGTATCCATGGCAATGCTGACAATCGTGGTGCTGCAGGCCATCATCGGAATGTTTTTCCAAGATGGACTTACAGGATCGGCCTGGGGCGACTGGAGCCTCTACACGGCCTCGCCTCTGCGTGCCAGGGAGTCCAAGGTCGCTCGCAACTTCTTCGGCGGATCCACTAGCGCCCCAAGCTTCGACCCGGCCAACGAGTTGGGTGTGCAAGAGCCCATCGGGTTCTGGGACCCCCTGGGCCTGAGCGCTGACAACGACGAGGCCACGTTCAAGCGCCGCCGCGCGGTGGAGATCAAGCACGGCCGCATTGCCGAAGCCTCAGAGCATCTCAGGGCCCTATGAACTCAATGAACCGTCATCTGTTACGTCTCGCAACTGCTTGTTCAAACACGCAGCCAGTTTCTTCGAGTGAAGGTGACACGGTTTGAACAGCTAGAGAAGACAGCCGCCCATGATAGAGAAGAGCAGCGCCAGGCCATGTATGCTACCATGGGATATATCGTCCCGGAGTACTTCAAGTTCCCCGGCTTCTTGAGCCCATCGCTTGGACTCAAGTTCAGCGACGTCCCGAACGGCCTGGCCGCCCTCTCCAAGCCGACGTCTCAGTTGTTGGACTGTTACGCTATATTAGGCCTGCTAGGCCCGATGCAGCTTTGTCAGCCATTGCCCGATTCGGCGATGCGACACCGCCCTTTGCGGGCGGCCACCCTTTCTTTCAGTTTCTTTCTGTCAGATAAGTCTCTGAGGATCCCGGTGTTGGGAGGTGCCCAGATCATTGCCTTCTGCGGCCTCATCGAGACCACGGGCTTCTTCCAGGCCGCGTCTACCACGGATGGCCGTGGACCTCGCGAGGGCCAGTTCGCCATGAAGGACTCGACGGAGGCAGCTGAGCCGGGCAACTACGGCGTGGGCTTCCCCACCTTCCTTGGCAAGGTGGATGACCCCGAGACCCGCAAGAGCAAATTGGCCGCCGAGTTGGCCAATGGCCGCCTGGCCATGATGGCGCCTCGCCCTTGTTGATGCTGCGCCTCCCCTCCAAGTTGTGCTAGGTTGCGCTATGCTGCACTTGTCTCCTTCAAGCCAACACAAGCCCATCTTTCCAGCAGGCACGTAGCAAGCCAGCAGGAAAGGAATGTCTGCATCAAATCAGACTTGAGATATGTTTGACGCAGAACATCGGGGGACATCTATCGGCAGCCGTTGGTTGCAAACAAAGAGAGATGGTCGGATCTAGATGGATCTAGAGCGGAGCTTGTTGTTGTGATGGATATCAGACCATGCAAGTTTCTGCAAGACCGCGCCAGTCAACCAAAGCTCCATGTGAGAGGGCATGACTAGTGACTATTGTCGGAGTATACATGGCAATGCTGACAATCGTGGTGCTGCAGGCCATCATCGGAATGTTTTTCCAAGATGGACTTACAGGATCGGCCTGGGGCGACTGGAGCCTCTACACGGCTTCGCCTCTGCGTGCCAGGGAGTCCAAGGTCGCACGCAACTTCTTCGGCGGATCCACAAGCGCCCCAAGCTTCGACCCGGCCAACGAGTTGGGTGTGCAAGAGCCCATCGGGTTCTGGGACCCCCTGGGCCTGAGCGCCGACAACGACGAGGCCACGTTCAAGCGCCGCCGCGCGGTGGAGATCAAGCACGGCCGCATTGCCGAAGCCTCAGAGCATCTCAAAACCCCTATGAACTCAATGAACCGTCATCTGTTACGTCTCGCAACTGCTTGTCAACAACGTGTAGCCAGCTTCTTCGAGTGAAGGTGACACGGTTTGAACAGCTAGAGAAGACAGCCGCCCATGATAGAGAAGAGCAGCGCCAGGCAATGTATGCTACCATGGGATATATCGTCCCGGAGTACTTCAAGTTCCCCGGCTTCTTGAGCCCATCGCTTGGACTCAAGTTCAGCGACGTCCCGAACGGCCTGGCCGCCCTCTCCAAGCCGACGTCTCAGTTGTTGGACTGTTACGCTATATTAGGCCTGCTAGGCCCGATGCAGCTTTGTCAGCCATTGCCCGATTCGGCGATGCGACACCGCCCTTTGCGGGCGGCCACCCTTTCTTTCAGTTTCTTTCTGTCAGATAAGTCTCTGAGGATCCCGGTGTTGGGAGGTGCCCAGATCATTGCCTTCTGCGGCCTCATCGAGACCACGGGCTTCTTCCAGGCCGCGTCTACCACGGATGGCCGTGGACCTCGCGAGGGCCAGTTCGCCATGAAGGACTCGACGGAGGCAGCTGAGCCGGGCAACTACGGCGTGGGCTTCCCCACCTTCCTTGGCAAGGTGGATGACCCCGAGACCCGCAAGAGCAAATTGGCCGCCGAGTTGGCCAATGGCCGCCTGGCCATGATGGCGCCTCGCCCTTGTTGATGCTGCGCCTCCCCTCCAAGTTGTGCTAGGTTGCGCTATGCTGCACTTGTCTTCTTCAAGCCAACACAAGCCCATCTTTCCAGCAGGCGCGTAGCAAGCTAGCAGGAACGGAATGTCTGCATCAAATCAGACTTGAGATATGTTTGACGCAGAACATCGGGGGACATCTATCGGCAGCAGTTGGTTGCAAGCAAAGAGAGATGGTCGGATCTAGAGCAGAGCTTGTTGTTGTGATAGATATCAGACCATGCAAGTTTATGCAAGACCGCGCCAGTCAACCAAAGCTCCATGTGAGAGGGCACGACTAGTGACTACTGTCGGAGTATACATGGCAATGCTGACAATCGTGGTGCTGCAGGCCATCATCGGAATGTTTTTCCAAGATGGACTTACAGGATCGGCCTGGGGCGACTGGAGCCTCTACACGGCCTCGCCTCTGCGTGCCAGGGAGTCCAAGGTCGCACGCAACTTCTTCGGCGGATCCACAAGCGCCCCAAGCTTCGACCCGGCCAACGAGTTGGGTGTGCAAGAGCCCATCGGGTTCTGGGACCCCCTGGGCCTGAGCGCCGACAACGACGAGGCCACGTTCAAGCGCCGCCGCGCGGTGGAGATCAAGCACGGCCGCATTGCCGAAGCCTCAGAGCATCTCAAAACCCCTATGAACTCAATGAACCGTCATCTGTTACGTCTCGCAACTGCTTGTTCAAACACGCAGCCAGTTTCTTCGAGTGAAGGTGACACGGTTTGAACAGCTAGAGAAGACAGCCGCCCATGATAGAGAAGAGCAGCGCCAGGCCATGTATGCTACCATGGGATATATCGTCCCGGAGTACTTCAAGTTCCCCGGCTTCTTGAGCCCATCGCTTGGACTCAAGTTCAGCGACGTCCCGAACGGCCTGGCCGCCCTCTCCAAGCCGACGTCTCAGTTGTTGGACTGTTACGCTAGATTAGGCCTGCTAGGCCCGATGCAGCTTTGTCAGCCATTGCCCGATTCGGCGATGCGACACCGCCCTTTGTGGGCGGCCATCCTTTCTTTCAATTTCTTTCTGTCAGATGAGTCTCTGAGGATCCCGGTGTTGGGAGGTGCCCAGATCATTGCCTTCTGCGGCCTCATCGAGACCACGGGCTTCTTCCAGGCCGCGTCTACCACGGATGGCCGTGGACCTCGCGAGGGCCAGTTCGCCATGAAGGACTCCACGGAGGCAGCTGAGCCGGGCAACTACGGCGTGGGCTTCCCCACCTTCCTTGGCAAGGTGGATGACCCCGAGACCCGCAAGAGCAAATTGGCCGCCGAGTTGGCCAATGGCCGCCTGGCCATGATGGCGCCTCGCCCTTGTTGATGCTGCGCCTCCCCTCCAAGTTGTGCTAGGTTGCGCTATGCTGCACTTGTCTTCTTCAAGCCAACACAAGCCCATCTTTCCAGCAGGCGCGTAGCAAGCTAGCAGGAACGGAATGTCTGCATCAAATCAGACTTGAGATATGTTTGACGCAGAACATCGCGGGACATCTATCGGCAGCAGTTGGTTGCAAACAAAGAGAGATGGTCGGATCTAGATGGATCTAGAGCGGAGCTTGTTGTTGTGATGGATATCAGACCATGCAAGTTTATGCAAGACCGCGCCAGTCAACCAAAGCTCCATGTGAGAGGGCATGACTAGTGACTATTGTCGGAGTATACATGGCAATGCTGACAATCGTGGTGCTGCAGGCCATCATCGGAATGTTTTTCCAAGATGGACTTACAGGATCGGCCTGGGGCGACTGGAGCCTCTACACGGCCTCGCCTCTGCGTGCCAGGGAGTCCAAGGTCGCACGCAACTTCTTCGGCGGATCCACAAGCGCCCCAAGCTTCGACCCGGCCAACGAGTTGGGTGTGCAAGAGCCCATCGGGTTCTGGGACCCCCTGGGCCTGAGCGCCGACAACGACGAGGCCACGTTCAAGCGCCGCCGCGCGGTGGAGATCAAGCACGGCCGCATTGCCGAAGCCTCAGAGCATCTCAAAACCCCTATGAACTCAATGAACCGTCATCTGTTACGTCTCGCAACTGCTTGTCAACAACGTGTAGCCAGCTTCTTCGAGTGAAGGTGACACGGTTTGAACAGCTAGAGAAGACAGCCGCCCATGATAGAGAAGAGCAGCGCCAGGCAATGTATGCTACCATGGGATATATCGTCCCGGAGTACTTCAAGTTCCCCGGCTTCTTGAGCCCATCGCTTGGACTCAAGTTCAGCGACGTCCCGAACGGCCTGGCCGCCCTCTCCAAGCCGACGTCTCAGTTGTTGGACTGTTACGCTATATTAGGCCTGCTAGGCCCGATGCAGCTTTGTCAGCCATTGCCCGATTCGGCGATGCGACACCGCCCTTTGCGGGCGGCCACCCTTTCTTTCAGTTTCTTTCTGTCAGATAAGTCTCTGAGGATCCCGGTGTTGGGAGGTGCCCAGATCATTGCCTTCTGCGGCCTCATCGAGACCACGGGCTTCTTCCAGGCCGCGTCTACCACGGATGGTCGTGGACCTCGCGAGGGCCAGTTCGCCATGAAGGACTCGACGGAGGCAGCTGAGCCGGGCAACTACGGCGTGGGCTTCCCCACCTTCCTTGGCAAGGTGGATGACCCCGAGACCCGCAAGAGCAAATTGGCCGCCGAGTTGGCCAATGGCCGCCTGGCCATGATGGCGCCTCGCCCTTGTTGATGTTGCATGTGCCCTTAGACCGTATGGGCATGAAGTTGCTACTTACATAGCTCTTGGACATTGTGTCTGAAGATATACATGATGTAGGTTTTGTATGGTGTTGTTCCTTCAATCATGAGTGTTTGCACATATACAAGTCGCAGACTGAGAGTCACCGTTCAAGACGTGCTACAATACGAGCTGTCCAGTTTTTCAGCTGAGAACTTTGGTATCTGTAATTCTGGTTATGACCTCTTCAGCTTGGCATGCTTCAGCGGCTGTTCTGCCAGGCCATCATTGGCATGTTCTTTCAAGACGGGCTGACTGGCTCTGCTTGGGGAGACTGGGTGAGGTGCTCACTTGCCACCAGCACCTCAATGTGGGGGTTTCCGAAACTAGTGGGGTACCTCACTGGGGTCCTTATTCTAAGGGAGTCCTACTATTCGGGGTCTATATTAGGGGTCCGCTATTTGCGTAAACTCCCATGGCATCCTCATGTCCTCCGTGGTTTTTCGGTGTCCGCCGTAAGGCTCTCTACACGGCCTCCCCTCTTCGAGCTGAGGAGGCCACTACCCTGAGCCCTAAACCCTAAACCCCCTAAACCCCCTAAACCCCCTAAACCCCCTAAACCCCCTAAACCCCCTAAACCCCCTAAACCCCCTAAACCCCCTAAACCCCCTAAACCACCTAAACCCCCTAAACCCCCTAAACCCCCTAAACCCCCTAAACCCCCTAAAAACCCCCTAAACACCTAAACCCCCTAAACCCCCTAAACCCCC